ACACAGATTGTGATGCCTAGACATCCATCATCATCTAGGATGACCAGGTGACCTTGAGGATGGCAATAACATGGCAAGGTGGAGTTGCCATGCCAGCTCTTGCCTGCCTACTCCCAGACTTGACATAAAGATAAATACTCTTCTGTTATTCCACTGTTGTTTGGTTTTCCAGTCATGTAAAATTAACCCAAATCTTTACTGACTCAATAGCCTAATTTACAAGCTATTATCCCAGGACTACGGCATAAGAGGTCAGAGGAGAAAGTAAATGTAATGATTACTTTTGACAAATTAAAATGCATTTGTTCACTTCCTGCCTGCAGTCCTAGCTCTCATTTTTAAGAACAAAAGTTAAGAACTGTAATGTTGTTTGAATAAACAATGAAATAATCATTCTATAAAATTGACAATTACCTAAAAATGTGAATCACACTTCACTCTAAAGATGTCTTTCATACTTCACTTGTTGACTATATAAGGTTTAGTTAATTTTAAAAGAAGGGCAAAGTACATTTCTCCTTTTGGAAATCTTTTTAAGCATTTGTATCTATATATATATAGGTTGATTGCTTCCTTCTGTCAGAAATAAGAGCAAATAGAGAAACCCTTCAGAACTGTTTCCATACTGTTACTGTATGTTATCTGTATTTGAATAAAGCACAAGATAACATCATCAATCAATTTATTATTTTCACTGTAAACATAATTGTCACTTCACAAAGAACATTAAGAATATCCACCCCTTTTCCTTAACTATGAAAGACATTTGCATTAAAAGAGGAACATCTTTATTTCCTTAGAGTTCATCTATGCCTGCTGGTTATTTCCCAGCTAAAGTCATAATCTTGTTTGCAACATCATAATCATTTACCCAGCAAACAATCAGGATGTCACTAACAAAGAATTATGACTTTAGGTGGGGGATAAAATACAGGCAGATGAACTCTGAGGAAATAAAGATTGTTTTTATGAAAATGTGGCTAGCAATAAATAACCAGGGAAGAAAATTATGCTGAAACAGAATATCCTATAAAAACAGATTTGGAAAGGTATAAATAGTATGCTTTAAAATTTCTCCCCTCTGAAAATATCATGCACAGAGCATTTATAAAGTACCAGTCCAATTTGATATTTAAAAACACCGAACTTACATGATAGAAGAAATCTGTAAACATAATGAACAATGTTTTGGAAATATTTTAATAAAATAAATTTAGATATTTAGCTTTCAATGTAAATGCAAGCTTTACACATCATTCAATCTAATCGTCAAACTCACTGAAAGCATTCTCCATTTTTGGTCTTTGGTGATTTTTGTGAATCATTTATGTCAACTTGGTCCTGAATTCACTACTGATCCATCCATTAATTTGTCTCTGTGTTCAACAACTTTAGCCTAAATTCATAAAAAGCGATGATAAACATTGCAGAGCACGTCCCAGTTCCCAAAATGTTTCGCATTCATGACATCATTTGACTCTCACCACATTCTTTTGAGCTAAGTCAAGTCAGTATCTTTTTTTCCCTTGAATGAAGAAGAAACACTTTCAAATGAGTGATCCAGCTGGTAAACAATGGAAGCTGATAACCTCTGTCTCTCCCACTACATGTATCATACTGCCTTCCCTTGGGAAAAGTTAGGGACAGAGACGACTTATCAGTTGGATCATGCCCATTCATTCATTCACTACTAGTGATCACCCAGTCTACACTAGGCACATGCTAAAAGATGAAACACGTACACAGTGCTGAGCACAATAGGCATAATCTGTGCTCAATGGAAATGTACAGTCTAATTGGGGGACATAATGTTTAAAAAATAGACACATTAATAATGATAGGTACTATGAAGGCAAAAGTAGGAGGCCATTAAAAATAAAGGAAAAGGGCCCTGGCCATTTTGGCTAAGCGGTTGGAGCATTGGCCTGCGGACCAGAGAGTCCCGGGTTCAGTTCCCACTAGGGGCACATACTAAATAAATAAATAAATAAATAAATAAATAAATAAGGAAAAGGGACAAAAGGAATTAATTTTGGTTGGACGTAGAGGCAGTTTTATTGAGCCGGTACATTTTGAGATCTTAGAGAACTAGCATGTGGCCAAAAACTAGATGAGGTAAGCCTTGCTTAAGATCTTTCCAACAACTGAACCATAGGGATCAAGAGAACTGTTGTTTTTGTGTTTATTTTTTGTTTTTTAATAAATCAAGGCATTATTCAAAATATCTGAGTACCCTACTACCGAAATGGAGCCATTTGATAACATTTGTTTGTTCAAAGAAAGGTTTTCTATCACCACACAGATAAGGCACAATAGTAAATGGTCTTCAAGGTCGTGTACCCCTGGCCTGTGGCATGCGACACACCCAGAATGCCCTCAAGGGGAAGGACTTCAACAAATCTCAAGTAACAAATCTCAAGTAACAAATCAGAACTATCAAATTTAATTTAACGTCAATTTGTTGCTACCATGTATATGTCCGGAACTGTACAATTACAGAATTTCATATGGTTATTACACCACCAGGCAAGTCTGAATATAAACTAACTCCAGCACGCATGCATATCACTTGGTCATCTGTCTAACGGTTGCGAGAGGCACACCATGTTAACTCTCGTATCAGGAACACGCTCGTGATTTTCCCGGAATGTCTGTAACTCAATTCCACAGCCGGAACTAGATGCATGCCTTAACCAACGATTTTAAACTCGAGCTCCAGAATGAGAGAACACATTGCAGCTGCTTCAGGCAGAGGCTCTAATCTTATTTAGTTTTTATTTCCTCATTAGACTAATGGCAAAGGAATTAAGGAACTTTTCTAAATGTGTGGTTATAGGAAGCAAATAAAGTCGGAAGGGGGTCTGCTGTGCTCTGCACAGAGGACCTCATGTTTAATTTCAATGCCATATTGGAAGTTAAATGACAAAGTCAATGGCATACTCTTTATCTCAAATTCTGGCCAGAAATGCACTACTGACAACTAATTATCAGCTTAATTTCTTATTTCAAAATTCTTATGTTGTAAAAGGGAAAGCCATCTTACAAAATCTCTTTCTGAGCTAGTTTATAAAAGGCTCAGGGTATTGAAAACAGAAAAAACACTGGTGTTCCTGCTTCCTGTGAGAATAGGAAAACAACTCCCTCCACTTTGTCTGTGAAAAACATGAGTTTCATAAATTGGCACCAGAGGGACAATTTTCTTCATCAGAAGTATAAGGATGATGTTGTCTCAGAGAAAAGGAGTGTGAGGAGAGTCAAGAAACGTTAAACCTGAGCAAACATGCTAAAAAGAAAAATAACGTATTTGAACAGGCTACCCCATTTTGGCGACAATACTGAAATTCAGAAGCTAGCAGCCTCGGGACAGGATGGCAGAAGTGCTTTTGAGACAAATGAGGAAGATTCAAAGGTGACTCGTTGCTGTCTCTCTACCGAGATTGTGGTAGAGAACGTGCTCAGAGGACAGGAAATAGCTGTCGAGTCTCTCTTAATTTTAAGATATTTCTTTTGAAAAATTTTATTCTGATAGTGTGATTGGCTTTGCTGATTACTTATTGTTCGTTTATGTTAATCACTTCCAATAAAGGGCCTTTTTAGATTAAAAGACACAGAAATGGCTATATGTCTCTTCATTTTCTATCATGTCAGTAAATGGTGTGTGTGAATGTCAGTACAGTTTATTGATGCCATGGAGAGAGTATCAAAGATGAATTCACATTCAATGGCCATCAGTCTTGTATCAGTGGTTACTATCTAGAATCACAGAGAAGACAAAACGATGGCACAACCAACGTGCAGGGATATTTTTCTGATAAGGCCACAAATTCCTTAACGGGAAGCCATCCTAGGAAGTTTGTAAAACTCTATCTCCATGCCTCCTTCTGCACTTGAGACTCTGAATTACAAGCTCCTATGAAACCTTGAATACCCACCAACCCAAGTATCTACTATTCTCCAAGACTAGGAAAATACTTCTATATCTGTTCTTTGGCTACCACAGCAGTCCTTCAAAGTGACTACAGAGGTCAGGGTTCTTCAGATAAACAGAACCAATTCTGGAGTCTAGCAAATCCAAAATCTATGGGGCAGGCCAGCAGTCTGGGGACTCAGGGAAGAGTTGATGCTGTCACTTGAGTCCGGAGGAAGTCTGAAGGCAGAATTCCCTCTTCCTTGGAGGACCTCTGTCTTTCTTAAGGCTTCTAAACTGATTGAATGAGACTCGCTCTCATTATGGAGGGCTACAATCAAAGTCTACTGATTTAAATGTTAATCCAATATAAAACATACCTTTGCAGAAACAGCTAGAATAGTGTTTGACCAAATGTCTGGGTCCCATAGACTAGCCAAGGTGACATAAAATTAACCATCACACTGGCCCTCCTAAAATAAGCTGCTTTGGGGATCTCTTCTGTGTTTTGCTAAAACAGAGAATGAGTATTATGTCCTCTTTATTTTGGGTCACCCCTTTTTGTTTTCTAGCAGCCGGTTTTGAAGCTATCAGAACATCTATAAATGCGAAAATACTAACAGAAAAAAAAACAAAAACCTATATAATTACCAAAGTAGAACATGGATTCTAGGCACAATTAATCATACTGCCAAGTATGACTTGGCCCTCAATGTACACTCTTACTGATGACATAATTATTTAAAATATAATTTGATAATTAAATATTACTTTAAATGTAATTATGGTGTAGCCTATGTTAGGTTCTGTATACAGAGTTATAACTGTTATTTTTTAGAACTCACCAAATTTTACTAATATGATCTGCAATATAGATTATTGTTTGACACATGCTATATTATTTGGAAGAAAAAGTCCTTAAACTTATAATTTTATTAACTTTTATTAGTCTGCAAACCTTGAAATACCAGAGACATGAACAATGAAAATCTCCAGCACCTGGAGAAGTAATCGCTTAGTTACTTTTTTCAGTTGTTAAGTTTTCCCCATTTACTTTGGATACAAAAAGTAAAAAGTAATGAACATATGATCCTTAGGTACTCTTTGGCCATGGTAGTGTGATGACATGTTGCTTGTCAAGGAAATCCTCTTCCTCCTCATCTGTGCTGCTCTCAGAAGCTGTCAGGAAAGACTGAATTTCAGTATCTTTTTCAGAAGAGCTGGAAATACATTAAAAGATCAATACACAATATACAGAACTAGGTTTCAACTCTTCATTTATCTTCTGATCAATACTACATACGTAGAAGTCACTGGAGGCAGAGATGTGAGGGTCTGCTTCAGACTGGGGCAGTCATTTCAACGTGCCCAATATACCAAGCCTCCTTTTAATGAGAAATTCCCATCATTCTTCCTCTCCCAAGAAATAAAGCCACAGTGGTACCAAGGAGAGAAGACTTTACAGTCTCTGATCCTGTCTTTCACCGATGATTCAGAAGGCACTTCAGAAACTTGCTGAGCCTCAGGGTCGTCATTAAGGACATTCATCATTACATTGGCTGTTTAATAGAGTCCCAATGAATAGACTGCTAGATAAATCACCTCTTTTGTGTACAGTAAATTAGGATTATGTGGATAGCCAGTTAAAACATGCCCAAACCAGAATTCATGACAACAATTATTGAGTTATTTTATATTGTTGGGTTTTATTGCGGAGAGGAAGTTTTTTTTGGGGGGGGGCTCCAGCGTGTGGGGATCTAGGGTTTGGTAAGAGAGGTAGAGTGGGGAGCGGAGGGGAGCCGGCACAACTCGGACGTGTTGGTCTAAGTTATCTAGATTGTCAGCCCATGTATGCCTCTAAATAATATGAAATACTTGTGTAAAATTCCATGATGAATATAACTGTTTTTGGATTCTTTTTGATGATTCTTGTTCAAACACAGGCTAAATCGGCAGAGCCCAGCTCTCCTCTGTGCACAAGTGCAGATCTGACTGGGACAAAAAACGTTCACTGTAATGACTTTGTCATGACATTCTTAATTTTAAAGCACCGTGTTTTATTTTGTTAATGAGTTTCCCTTACATTTTTGGTATTAAATGTTCCTTCTTTTATGAAATGATGGTGATAGTCAGTTGGAGGTTTCGTTACTTTGTTTTTAATTACTTTGGGGGAGGGGGAATAGCAACTTTAGATTGACCCTTTTTAAAAATAAATTTTAAATAGTGTTAGAAATGCAAAAATCCAAGAACCACAGCCAAACTGTTTCCTCCTTTAAGAAAAAAAGAGAGCAACTCTCTTGATTTCCTTTGACTGCAATATTAGACTTCAAACCAGTCAAAGGAATTTACAATACAATGGACTTTTATTTACATCTATTATAAACCTTCTGTAAGAAACTCTCCTTAGTGGGAACCAAACCCGAGTCTCTTTGGACCATAGGCTGACGCTCTAACCACTGAGCCAAACTGGCCAGGGCGCCGCCTTTTTTCAAGGAATTCCAGTGTGTCAATAGTAGAGTGACATGATAAAACTACATTTCTTAAGCATTTATCAGTATAACCCACTTTCCCTATAAACCGACCACCATCCCTGAAAGCTCATACATTATGTGAGGAAAGAATGACGTGATAACAAATTAAAATACAATATCATTAGCAGCCTGGACTCGATTTCAAGATAGAAACCTTTCAATATTCTATTCTGAAAACTTTATTCACATTGACTAAGATTCTCCTAATGCAAAGTATTACAATTTATTAGGTTAATTAATAAAAGTAAAGCAACTGCTTTTCGATTTAAAAAGAAAGGCTGAAGGATTATTAAATTCCTTTGTTTAAAATTTTTCTGACATACATTTTGTGGCAGAGCATCCTCGCTTTGTATTAAAGCAACACCTTCATAAGCTTTTTACTAAATCCTGATGATAGGTCAGCAAAGAACACAAACATTTTACAAAGAATGGACATATAAAGTACACACATGAGGACAATCTTTCTTTATGTAGTAAAGAGAATTAGTTGGGGCTTGTCAGAATTGTTACTATGCATTATGGTTACACATAACCTACCTCAGTTCCTCAGTTGCACAGAGGCCTCTCGGATGTGAGGTTTGAAAGAGATCTGGGCTGGCCTGACTTATATTCGGCGAATCGTTGTGCAGGGCTGGTGACTCTTCCGAGGTTAGGCTGTAAAGTTTTTCTGAAGGACCTGCAATATTTTATTTCATGACTGTCAACACATAAATTCAAGCAACAAATGCACAGCATATGCTCTGAAAGTTTATCCAGAGTAAACTTTAAGCAGTAGAAAGAGGATCAGAGATTTTTAATCATCTCTCAATTTTCTAATGTTTGCAGGATGGTCAGAGTATGAGGTAAATGTGTCCTGAGATTCTAAATTAGGGCCTGGGTAGCAAGTCACTTTAACCATATTGATTTTTTTGTTTAACAAATTTCCCAATTTTTTTTTTTTTTTAGCTTAACTGGGAGATGTTTGACATGTAACATTGTTTAAGTGTAAGGTGTATAATGTGTTGATTTGAAACACGATATATTGCATAATGACAACCACTATGGTGTTAGCACCTCCACCACATCACATAAATCCCATTTCTTCTTTGTGGTGAGAACATGTAAGATCTGTTCTCGTGCCCTGGCCGGTCTGGCTCAGCGATTAGAGCATCGGCCTGCGGTCCAGAGAGACCGGGGTTCGGTTCCCACTAAGGGCACGTACGTCGGTTGCAGTTTGTCCCCAGCCCTGGTTGGGTCGTGTGGGTGGCAACTACTCAATGTGTTGCTTTCACGTCGATGTTTCTCTCTCTCTCTCTCCCTCCCTCCTGCTCTATCTGAACAAAAAATGTCCTCAGGTGAGGATAAATGAATAAATAAAATAAAATAAAAGATCTGCTCTCGCCCTGGCCGGTTTGGCTCAGCGGTTAGAGCGTCCGCCTGCGGTCCGGAGAGACCCGGGTTCGGTTCCCGCTAAGGGCATGTGCCTCGGTTGCAGTTTGTCCCCGGCCCTGGTTGGTCGTGCGGGTGGCAGCCACTCAATGTGGCCCTTTCACATTGATGTTTCCCTCTCTCTCTCTCTCTCTCTCTCTCCCTCCCACTCTGTCTGTACAAAAAATGGGAAAATGTCCTCGGATGAGGATAAAAAAATAAAAAAATAAATTAAAAAAAGCTGTTAAAAAAAAAAAAAAAGATCTGCTCTCGTAGCAACTTTCAAATATGTAATACAGGAATATTAATTATAATCACCACCTGTACATCAGAGCCTCAGAACGTCTTCTCTTGTACTCTCTGAGCAACATCTCCCAGTTTTTCCCACCCCCAAGCCCTGGCAGCCACCATTCTAATCTCTTTCTATGAGTCTGGCCTTTTTAGATTCCTCACGTAAGTGATGTTACACAGCATTTGTCTTTCTCTGGCTGACTCATTTCAAACAGCCATATTGATTTTTCAATATACATTATATTTTTTTAAAACGTCCAATGTCCTAAGAATTCATTAAATTATAAAGAAAACCAAGTGACCCTCTTAAAGCTAGAATATTGTGAATGTTAAACACTTTATTTAATCTTGTCTTCTAAGAAATAAAAACTTCACCTCCACACAGTCTGAGGCAAAGGTTAGTCTGGGCAAATTTGCCCTTTTGTTTTTGTTTTTGTTTTGGCTTCCTGCTTTGTTTGGGTAGATAATAACCATTTGTATGGGAAAGGGGAGAAGCCTTAAATCTCCTCCCTTTTCATAAAGCTGGCCTGTGATTCAGCCTATGTGAGAAAAAATAGTGCAAGTAAGCAAATATATAAGCAAACATCTGTATATAAACTACCAAAAAAGTCTAGTATAAAAACAAATGATTGCCATATTAGAAAGGCCATATTGCCTTCTTTCTGTCGTTGATACAATTCTAAGAGTCATTTAACTTGTATATAACCTTATGTTGATTTTGTTAAAATTACTGTGTGCTCTTCTTCCCTTCATTCTGATGAAAGTGTCAAGCAAACATCCCCTTCATTAGAACAACCAAACATTAAACTACAGTGCATTATACACTTGACTGAAGAGAATATTTGGGGTAGGGGAGAGGAATGTCATTAGCATTACTGTGAAGTTTTTGAGCAAAAGGATTCTCCTGCTGAAAGTAACTTAGATTATTCCTGCTGTGAAACAAACCTCACTGAATACATTTACAGCTGGAAGGTGTCCTACAAATCAGTTAGCCCACTGACTTTCATAGTATGATACAAGGAGAAATTCAGTAGGCTTAAGGATGAGGTTACTGCTAAAGCATCCGGGAGGGCTTTCCTTGGTCTTATTTACATTCGGGGCTTATATAAGATTAATTTGGAAGAAAAAGAAAAGATTTCTCAGCTAAAAGGTTTGTCCCATCCCCACTTGTTGAAGACTCGGTAGTGGAGGGCCCAGTGGGGTTTGGCAAACTTGAAATCCACACAAACACATGGTCAAAGACCTGGAACTAGACCTGAGCTCTCTCAGCTCACCTACATCATAGACCACTCTGCTCCAGAATCTAATTATCTAGCTGCAGGCCACTACGTTCTCTCCCAGTTTTTCACTAAGTAAAAGAGTAAGAGTATGCAAGGCACCCATGCATGCCCCAGCGGAAAATGTTACCTGTGGGAAAACAGTCCATTCGGGATTTGGAACTTGCAGAATTATAGTACTAACATGCAATAGTGATGCTTAGAGCTAAAGAATGCCACCTGCAAAGGTGTCCAACCTCTGTTAGATGTTTGAGTCCTAACTGAATGAACACAGAGCTAATTCAGATTGTGCAAATAGAATGGGCCTGTTTTTATATAATAATTCATTCTTAGAATTATACTTCGAAACACCTTGTCAAGTTAACAGGAGCAAAGGTGATATCATTTTACATCATACTTACAAAAAGCCCTATCACAGGTTAGTGTTAAACCTAATAAGTCAGTTGTACTCAAGTCTTCTGATTATCTAATACAGAACAAAGAAAAAGTGGACTGATATTTATATTGAAAACTTTATAACTGCCAGGTCAGCTGATTGTTGAGGAATGGATTTTTATCCCTGGAGTAAGAGTATATATTGTCTGGTCATTGAAGAATCTTTTAAATACAATAATAAAGAATTAGACAAAGGAGAAAAATTGACTAAATATAAGCTTCTAGGGTGTATTTCTAAAACTCATGTCATTTAAAACATATTCATATAACTTTATTCCACATGAAAATAAACACTTATATGAATAAAAGAAATAAAAGAAAGAAGGACAAAAAAAACAACATTAAAAATGGAAAAACATTTGAAAGTTAAAAACGTCAAAAAATAGAAATATAGCAGATAGGCTATTTACATAAGGGACCGAAAACAAAAGTGACAGAACTTTCTAAAGGACTCTGTAGCACAGCTACAAATGGCATCCCAGGTTCAAAAGGGTGTGACAACCAGGACACGGGCCCTGTGACCTGTGAGTCTCACCCCCAGCTCTTCAGCCTCCCGTTTTCCTGTCCCTCCATCTCTCTTCCCCTCTGCCACTGGACCTTGCCTTGTTTATCCCTCCCAATCTTCTTTCCTTTACTTTCATTCTGTCCATACCCTCTCCCGCTTAACTGGTCACAATATTAATTTGAAGTGAGGATTTCCAATTATTTAGGTAGCATTGTGGTATGGTGGTAACACAAAGGAATGCACGGTAGACCTGCCTGGGTTTATGCCCGGGCTCTCGCGCACCCAGGGGAGACCATGCGCAGTTATATCACCCAGAACCAGTATCCACAAAGGGAAAATAAACTAGCACCTGCCCCATCTCCCTCCCAGAGTAGCTATGAAGAGCAAATTGAACATTATACATAAAAACAAATAGTGAGTATTATTACACATTAAATGGTTTCATTTTCTTTATATCAGAATTTTTTAAATGTGTTGATGACTTTCACCCAGCCAGTGTGGCTCAGTGGTTGAGCATCAACCCATGCACCCAGAGGTCACCAGTTCAATTCCCGGTCAGGGCACATGCCCAGGTTGTGGGCCTGATGCCCAGTGGGGGGCATGCAGAAGGTGGCCAATCGATGTTCTCTCTCATTGATGTTTCTATCTCTCTCTTCCTCTCCCTTCCTCTTTCTCTAAAATCAATAAATAAAAAATAATTAATTAAAAAATTAAAATAAAAATAATATGTTGACAACTTTCACTTATATGGAGCATTCAATGTTTTTTGTGGTTTTTTTTTCCTGGGATTCAAAGGTGCACTAAAGCAAAAAGATTGCCATTCTAGCCCATCATAGCCTATCTTTACTTAGCTAGTGAATTTGCTAACTATAAACCCTGAGTAGGCCTTTTGTAACGTAGTATTGTGCTTGATGGCCAACCAATGAACAGCAGCTCCAAGTACATAGAAGCCTCTGACTCACTATTTTACATCACAGACAACTGGCTACATCAGATAATATCAGGTACATTTTTACTCTTTCTTGTTTAAAGGAAAATACTTTCCTCTCTTAAATTACTTGACTCAGTTAACTACCTATGAACTCACACAAACATAAGATTGTCATGGGAATTTAAGGACCACAAAAGCTCTTAAACCACAAATCAGAATGAATTCGAACCAAACTAATCATTTTTAGCTACTGAAAAGGTGCATGCTTTAAAGTGCATCATTATAGCTACTTTCTCATATCTTTTCTGATATTTTCCACTTTTTTTTTAGGCTATAACATCTAAAAACTGTCAAGGTGGCTTAATAAGTAGGTTATACTGATATGTTGTGCTTATTAAGGAGGTGACTGTAGTACTATTCACAAAGATATTTGTAGAGGGAATAATAATAAGGCATAAACTATAGCTAACTATACTCCTCAAAGCAGTCTAGAAGAAAACTTAGTTTTAGAATAGAAAGAGCTTTTAGATGTTTTCCACCATAGTTTAGACTTACCAAGAGCACCCACCTTACTGTATGGAGAAAGCACCATCCACTGCTTCCTTATATAATTTAACATTTTTTCCTGGACTTACTATGTGCTGAGCACTGCTGAGTTAGTGTGTGTGTGTGTGTGTGTGTGTGTGTGTGTGTCCTTACTTCAAATCCCCAATTACCAGGACCCTTAGAATGACATTCAAACTCGTTATTGTAGAGAGAAATAAATTCTCATGAATATAATATTTAATACACACTTGAGTTCCATCCTGGACAAAGTTATGATAGGGTCT